TATACTAAGCTTACTAAGCATACGGATCTAACATAAGCTTACATATGCTTAGTATGATGTTTCCGAACCTAAGCCCATCATATCAGGTCAATGTCAGGTCAATGTCAGGTCAATGTCAGGTCAATGTCAGGTCAATGTCAGCTCAATGTCAGCTCAATGTCAGGTCAATGTCAGGTCAATGTCAGGTCAATGTCAGGTCAATGTCAGGTCAATGTCAGGTCAATGTCAGGTCAATGTCAGGTCAATGTCTGGTCAATGTCAGGTCAATGTCAGGTCAATGTCAGGTCAATGTCTAGTCGAGATGGTGTCATGGTCAGGTCAATGTCAGATCAGGATGAAAATATGACACAGATGTCGTATTTTCAGATCCATATGCTTACTAAGCTTAGTATATCTTAACAAGCTTAGTGACCTTTAGAAAAATCTTTCCTACACATAAGCTTACTCTATAGAGCTTAGTTTTGGAAAACTCTTACTAAGCTCACGTATGCTTATTATGCTTAATAAGCTTGGTAGGGCTTAGTAAGCTTAGTCCCACCATATGGGTGAATGCATAAGTTTTGTCCACCATGACACAGATGTCGTATTTTCATCCTGATCTGACATTGACCTGACATTGACCTTACATTGACCTGACACTGACCTGACCTGACATTGACCTGACATTCAGCTTAGTCATTAAGCTTATGTAAGATCCGTGTGCTAGCTAAACTTAGCATCCCACCGAAAACTAGAGAAGAAGAAAAAAAAGGGATTAAAGCCATGAAACAAATCTCTTTATTAAGATTATATATTCGAACGAGATACATGAAGTTAAGCCATGGCCGGAGGATCTCAACTCTCCGGCCAAACCCCCCGGGCCAACCACCACCCGGAGGGCCGGTTATCCCCGCATACTCCACCGAATAGCGTTGACCGCTTCAATGAAAATGGATAACCGGGCTTTCTTAGGTCTAAATGTGAATTTCGTAATGTCTATTGGTCTAAAACAATATCGCAGCCTTGGACCGCGAAAACATTCTTATGGTCACCAGAGAAAAAGCATCTCTTCGCAGAAATTTTGAAGTCGAAGACTTTGTCCTGTAGAGCCCGAATTGGCTCTATAATAGAAGTAGACGTGTTCACGTCGCCCAGATTGTGATCAAACAAAGCTGAGATGGTCATTCCGAACACCGTACATTCGACTCGCTGTCCGGTGACGTCCTCTATTTCGATTGACGTCGTTGCGCCCAGGTCATGTGATGTACTTTCTTGGCGACACCTGGGGCACCAAAGTGTGCCTGAGGATCTTTCCTCTAATTTTTTGTAACAACCTACATTCGGACACGATTTGTAAAAGTGAAGTTCATCATCGAAGTTCACTACTTTGCCGCGGACTACGAATTTGGCGTACACCTCCGCCGGCATTTCGACGAGATCATCAATCATTTTCGCAATGTCGACTTTCTTGTTTTCTATCGGAAACTGGAAAAGAGGACTGAGATCCCCCCTAACAGAGCTACGAGTTGTCCACCATTCGTTCAAGACATGTATGTCGTGGATCGCATCGTCGAAAATTTTTTCTGAATCCTGCGTGAGGGTGAAGGTCGGAAAGCCGTTGTAGACCCTCGTTTTGACCCTGGTAAGTATTACAGCCCGGCCAATATTGTCGACGATGTCGACGCGATCGTCGCTCCATACCGTGATTTTCATCAATTTCTCGTGCTGATCCGTTATTCGTAAATCATATTTACGGATGAGCTTATTATCCCGCATCCTCTGTATATGTGTCGTCTCAGATATTGAAACGATCACCCCACTAGTATTGAAGACCGCATTGTCTTTGAAGACGCGCGGTAGATTTATCAACGGGGTCAAATCGTAATCATCGTCGAGCTCAAGTTCGTCAGGAATTTCAATTATTGTCGTTGAGGTGTTAAGATTGAGCTCGACATCATTGTTTGTATTGTTGTACTGAGGGTTGGACGCTTTACAGAAAAAATTGGCAATCTGATACGACTTCCCCTCAGTGACACATTCGTAGAAACGATAGCTTAGTGTAGCTTACGTGTGCTTAGTAAGATTAGCAATTCTTTTCGTACACATCTCGATATATATATATAGGGCTTAGGTTAGGAAACGTCCTAGTAAGCTTATGTAAGCTTGTGTAAGCTCCGTAAGCTTATGTAAGCTTGTGAGACCTCGTATTGGTCGTCACGATCGGTATTTTTCTTTCCTCGAGAAACTCTTTCGTCGGCGCATCAAAGCGGATTGTCAGGTCGGCATCTGTTCTCATCATTGCATACACGACCGCGGATACGAGACATTGGACTCTTTCAGCATCTCCAATCTCGGTCGATGTCTCTCGACGAGGCCAAATGCAGAAGAGTTCGTTTGCTTTGGACGTCGACTGAATCGTTACTTTGGTCCTCCACCATGGTTGGAAAAAATCCTTCACTGCGCGAAGAGCTTCGGAAATCGCTGGCACGAAAGCGAACGAGCTGGCGCACAGCGGCTGGGAAGTCGCGGCGGCTTGAGCGAGTGCATCTAAGTTCGTCGGTGAGGTGCTGGAGCTTCTTCTCATCTCTGCATCCAGTGATTCGCGCCTGGCGTCTTCTGCAGCAGCGGCGGCGAGATCCGATTCCGTGTGTTCGACCAGGAGATGGCTGATGCTCTCAATCACCGGAACGATGCTCTTACTCGCTGTGAACAAAAGGTAGTAACTCTTACAGTCTGAGAGTTGTAGAAGTTACAATATCGATACGATATACAAGAACACACCGTTCTGGCTTAGTTGACCGATACTCACCCTTGAAAGTTTTTCCGAAGTCGAAGGGTTGTGCGGGTCCCGATCGGCTTGCGCGTTCCGGTTTGTTTTTCTTCCCTGAAATGGATCACTCGTTGCAGTGCTCATTGGAGCGATGATGAAGCAACGCGTCGATATGAATCACTAGCGGAACATAGAGATGGTGACTCTCACCCGTGAGGTCTTTAGGACTCGCACGAGAACGTTTCCTGTCTCCTCCGAGCTCGATTCGACGTCCCCGGCTCCGACACTTCCACGAACATTTATTTTCGGCAGTGCGCGCAATGTATGATTTCTGTCTTCTTGCCCCTCCTCTGTGGACGGTGTGCGGCATCCGGCAACGCTTCCATGGCTCTTCCGCTTCCGACTGAGGAGCGAGGATTCGAGAACATTTAGTCTTACAATCTCCAATCGATAGAGTTACCATTCTTATTGAGAGATACAATTGTAACTTCCAGTTCATACGATTGAACTCACAGGCGTCGTTCCGAACTTGTGCTGTCACCTGCCGGTTGATACGGCCGCTCGCGGAGAGCTTGAGGAGATCGTGCAGCGTAGGATCGGTGTTTTCTACCGGCAGATCGTCGATATTTGGGAGCACGACTGTAAGCCGAAGACGCATAGTTGCCAGACAGCCAATCATCGGGTATCGGGTATCGGGTATGAGAAAATTGAAAACACTTACTCGAAACTTCCTTCGCGGTCTCGGATCGGACGGATTCGATCTCGACGAATCGGCGGACTTGAAGACATTCGAAGAATCGAAGCTGCATCAACTCCGATAGCAGTTTCGCTAGATCTTTGTCGATGATGTCGAAAAGGAGTACTGACTGCGAGCTGGAGATCGTCGCCATGAAATCGAGGGCGAACTTTCGCCGAGCGCGTAGGGTCTCTGGGTTCGGGCTGACTTCTTCGGGCCGGAGGTAATCCGACCACACGTTCGAGACAGCGAGCGCTGAGTTTCCTTCATGCCTTCTCGACACACAGTTTAGCAGCAGGAAAGCAAGCTCGCGTAGATCGATTACGTTCAAGCCAGCCGACGTCATTCGATTCAAGAGATCTGTATCGACGGGTCCTGAGCTTTCGATCTCGTTGCACAGTGCTGAGGAGATGAATTCGGAACCTACATAGTTATAAACTTATTATCGAAAACGGAGGCGATAGGAGTCAATAATTCCTCCGTAGATATCATGCTCTTACCTGAAGTCGGGCAATAGCTGATCACTGCTTCGGTGATTTTCGATTGGTAGAATCTTAGCTGCTCCGCTTTCCACCCGAGACCCTCGATTCCAAGGGAGTGGAGAAACTTCGCGAAACTTTTCAAAGAATCGAGGCCGGGGAGTACTACTTGCTCTAGGAAGTCGTGCGTTTGGATGATCGAGAGCTTATGTTTCCTCCTCCACAAAGCGACAATGACCAGCGCCCCGACTTGGTCATTCAGAGTGGCTATCACTAGGTCAGCGAATGCTTCTTTCGTCACCGAACACTCTCGATTCTGTGGAATGGCGAAAGCTCCTGAGTGAGGATCTGAACATGAATTCGATTGAGCCCGTGTCTCGAGCTCGGCACTAATCACCCTTGCACTCATCTCAACTCGCTGGAGACCAGCGAAATAACACGATTACTACCGTCGGAAATGACTTCAGTCTCAAAAGTGTAGCTTCGTGCGCTTCGGCTCATCTCGGAATCTCGGAGTCTCGGAATCTCGGGCTTATCGGAATCTCGGAGTCTCGGAATCTCGGAATCTCGGGCTTATCGGAACTCGGAACTCTAACGCTGAAAATGATTTCGATGAGTCAATGCTTCATTTTTCCCTGTGATTAAGGATATTTGAAGAGCAATGGGAGTGAGCATCGTCTATGATTTTTCGCAGGAAAGTTCTGATTTACAGCCTCACGAACTCACGGAGCGAACGACCGAACCTGACACAGCGAGTTCAACTACCGACGACGGCGATCGTCTGCGTTGGCGCGTCGATTGTTTTCGTTACAATTCCGAAACTACCCGCCCTCCCACGGATCCAGTAACTATGTGTTACAATTGAGTAATTGTAAGAGTTTCCCCGAAAAGGGGAAATCTCCCCGAGTACCATTCACGAGCGAGTTGCGGTCAAGGATTCGAGTTAGTCCGACGGTCCGCGAACATTTCCACGCGAATCCAGAAGGATTTGGGGAATCTCAATTTTCGTCGAGATTTTTCAGAGCTGTCTCGATGCATAATCATGGGTGTCGTGGGAATTGCATTCCGAAAGGTCGAGTTCCCGACTAGAACCGAAGCTCGGCGACTCTTGGACGATAAATTGACCAACGCATCGCGATTCACGACGGCCCCTCACTGCCGATAACTGATACGAGCATACTTATGCATCGAGACAGCTCTGAAAAAATTCGACAAAAATTGAAATTCCCCAAATCCTTCTGGATTCGCGTGGAAATGTTCGCGGACCGTCGGACTAACTCAAATCCTTGACCGCAACTCGCTCGTGATGGTATTCGGGGAGATTTCCCCTTTTCGGGGAAACTCTTACAATTACTCAATCGTAACACATACAGTCCTCGCGGCTCACAGGTAGGAACCGCAAATTCCCGGGTTTTCCCGGGAAAGAAAATGTCGGGAATTCCCGGGATAATCGGGAATTCCCGGGAAATCCCGGGATAGTCGGGAATTAGCGGGAAATGCTGGCCGACAAAGGAGAACATGATCACGGGTAACGGCGCGCCGGAGGACGAATCTTTATTTGCTTTCAATGCCCTCCGTTGCCGGTCGTAGGGCCACGCTTTGTCCCACGGAGGTGAGCACGCAAGACCATCAGACTATCAAGCGTCCTTGGTGCGAGTGAGTTACGGGTTTTCGAGCATATGGAGTTCATCGTGCTAAAATCTCTTTCCGGCAAGACCGAGGTTGGTTGTACGGTCGACAGCCTTCTCAGGCATGGCGATAGCAGTTTCACGTGGCCGTGACCGGCCTCAAACAACTTCATCTCGGTGCGCAATCGTGCAACGGTGGGCTGAACTGGCGGTAACGGCTTCTTTTGATTGAGTAGAGGGGTCGTGAAAACGCTATCGAAATCCATTTCTCTGAGGGGAGCTTCATCCTCCTCTGAGCCTTGGAGATCAATGTCGCCGATTTCCGACATCCCTTCACGCTTCAGAATCTCTAATATCTGATTCCGGAGGTCTTTTTCCGGGCTTTGGGAAAAGCCAAGCATTTTCTCGAACTTGAAGTCATACTCGGGATCGAGCAGGTATTGGAGGAGTGTCGAGTTCAAGGTTCTCCGTTTCCGTATCTCCTCAGCTTCGGAGAAAGGATCGTCGCGACGATCTAATCCATTCAGGAGAATCATCAGGATTCGGTCAGCGTGCGCGAGAGTAGCTTCCGATGAGCTCAAGCAAATCATGGCCGTTTTGGAAGGCAATAACGTTGTGAGGATATTCCGAAGCTTCTCCCTCGCAGCTCGCTTGATTCGCGGTGCATCGTTGTCCTCGAGGACCGCATTCAGGGCCGGCATGATGAGCACAGCCCTTGCTAGCATGCGAATCGTCGAGTACCACCGGATCCTCGTGTCAAGAATTATGGTGAGACGCTTCCCGTTGTACTGGGGCAATGCTGTGAGTTCGAGTAGCTTTTCGTTTTTGGTCCGCTGCGCTTAATGCTCTTCAGGATGCTTCGCAGATTGCTTAGGGCGCTTCGGACTGAGAGACATGGTGTTTGGATTTGATCATTGGGGTCGATCTCCATAGCTCCATCTAGGTCAGATTCCATGTCCTCCGGCGGATCGAGTTCCATCTCGTCTGCGAGTTCGTCACGGATGTCGTCATCATCGCTCTCTTCGTCGTTGCTATCTCCATCAGGGACCATGTGCCCAACATTCGATGGCGAGTTAGAGACATTGCTAAGTAAAACTTTCTCGAGGGCATTGTGGAGACCATGAAGCAAACATAGCTGGGATTGAAGTCCGAGCTTCGCGACGGCACTTTTCATTACCGACGCTCCATCAGTTATGCCGAAACGACACTTGCTGAGTCGCACGCCGAAACTCTCCATCCGAGATTTGATTGATTCACTTATGAAATACGAGTTAGCTCGTCCGGTTATTTGGATCAGTCCGAGATGTGTGTCTTTACCTGCCGAGAAATCTTTTTCATGGCAGCCTTCTGCCCGGAGATTGAGGCTGATGTATCTATATGGGGAATTCACGGCGGAAGCTTCGTCGAAAGCGACCGCGAACGTACCACCCTGATTCTGATACTTCTCCAGCCTCGTCTGTATTTGATCGCGCGCCTGCTTCGCTTCATTCATCACGATGCTCCTGATTGTGTCGGCATCGGTCTACCGGTGTATGCTTCGAAGAGGGTTCGCAGCACCTCGGATCGAGCAAGTGTTTGGAACGATATCCCATCCTGCGCCGCTAGTTTGGCAATGAGCGTCTTCGGATCTTTATCGCTAATGACAGGATTGTTGCTCGAGCACGGAGGACTTGATTCTGACGAAGGTGTATCATCGGACACATTGTGCTGCTCCCTCAAGTGTCTAGCGAGACCACTGGTACTACTTCCCCCACATTTGAGCGTTTTCGTACAGAATCCACACACAGCTGTGTCGTTCTGACCTCTGGAGAAATGACACCACACCCAACTTTTTGCAGATTTCTGCGTGGAGCTCATTTCACGACGCGTCAACGGGAAACGGGAGAATTCGTCGAATTGAGGGGAGTCTCCGGAGAGTAAGAGATTGGTGCGAGAGCTCCGTCTTCGGAAATCACTCACTCCGTAGTATGTCCCACCTCCGACTAAGCAACGCGAGAAATGATTCTTCTCCAAAGTGGTAGAGCCCTTCTCAGGTCGCTCGTGACCAAGCTTCAGATATCTGGTCATGTCGATGAGAGCTCGATTCCTCGCATCTTTGACATTCAATGTAGCTAAACGATGTACCTCAGATATGACAAGCTCCAATCGTTACCCGAGACGATCGGCAGCCTCATCGGAAAGTCTGGATCGAATGTCGAGCGCGATAAAGATCGGCAGAGTCTCCACCATTTGAATTTCTCCCTCGAATTTCTCGGGAAAATATATCTAAAGATCTTCGACTTTCCCGGGAAATATCCCGGGACAGTCGGTTTCGGGACCCGGTTTTTTCCCGGAATTTTTCCCGGTTTTGAATCCCGACTGCGAGCCCTACTCACAGGCCGAGGGACTGTAGATCTTACATTTCGATCGATGTAAGAGTTTCTATTCACATCGATGTATCGTAACTTTTCCAATTGAGTAATTGTAAGAGTTTCCCCGAAAAGGGGAAATCTTCCCGAGTACCATTCACGAGCGAGTTGCGGTCAAGGATTCGAGTTAGTCCGACGGTCCGCGAACATTTCCACGCGAATCCAGAAGGATTTGGGGAATTTCAATTTTCGTCGAGATTTTTCAGAGCTGTCTCGATGCATAATCATGGGTGTCGTGGGAATTGCATTCCGAAAGGTCGAGTTCCCGACTAGAACCGAAGCTCGGCGACTCTTGGACGATAAATTGACCAACGCAGCGCGATTCACGACGGCCCCTCACTGCCGATAACTGATACGAGCATACTTATGCATCGAGACAGCTCTGAAAAAATTCGTCGTTCAAATGTACTGGAGAGCATCGTCGGCCGTTTTGCCTTGGGCGACCGCTTCCAGTACGATCCCCGTTGTAACTCAGATGCTAAAACGGGCATCGATTTGTTCCCGAGGTAGGGTTGGCGCAAACCGGGCGTTCTCTGGGTACTCACTTGCTTTCGAGTCGACCCCCTGAATTTTGTCCTCAGCCGGCTTGCCACATAGCGAACCCGACTTCGTTTTCTACTGCCACTCGGAATCGAGGCGTCGTCTTTTTCCCCGGCTGCTACGTCCGTCCGATTTTCGATCTGGTTGTCGTTTTCCTCCGGCGTGTCTTCTGATTTCGCCCGCACAGCGATGCCGTCCAAGCCATCGAAATGTTTGTTCCATTTAGAGAGTCC